CACTACTTGGGTAATGAGACTTCCTTCCTTGAGGAGGAAAGCAGGAATACTCTACACACAAAAACTTGTGCCCACGTTCTCTGTAAGCGCACCCAATTTGCTTCTTATCTCTCTGTTCTTTGCAAAATTACAATTGGAGTACAAAGACTCAGTTATCAGGTTTTAATTTAATTCAGTTACTTAATCAGCAAGAATATAAATCACTCATTAGGTAGAGAATACTTTGGGGGAAAGCAATATAGCAAGTAGTCATGTTTACTTTGTTAGTTTTCTTCACAGCCATTCTCTCTTCTCTTGTCACATCTATACCTTGTAAGCTTCTACACATAAAAGAAATCCAAATTTTCTCTTTACATTTTAATCTCATCTTTGATGTGTAGCTGTAGGCTTAACACTGAATAACGATAACAAATGAAATATTATACTTTTTTAATGTGATATATTTAACTTGCGATTCATCTTTTAATATCTATTTCAGAGACTATTTGACAGGAATAAATAAACGAGGGCTTCCTGGCAAGAAAAACTGTGATTTATGAAACATTTTATTATTTGTTAAGAACTTTCTTGAGAATACTGCTAACACCATGAGCTATGCAGTCCTATCCCACCATCTTACTCATAGTCAATTAGAAAATTGTATCAATAATAATGTAAAACAAATTACCTAGCTTCTCTTCCTGAAGCATAGATTTCAATGTTTGTCAAAGCATCTATGTGTACAAACAGCACTGCAGTGTTTTTCATTAAGCCTTAAAGTCAATTAAGCTACGAATTGGAACAATCATTCCTTCTTTGCAAAGTATTGATATTTTTTTCTTGGCTGCTTTCAAGCCTTTTCACTACTCAAGGAGAGATTTATGTTTGACAATTTCTTTCTGATTAAAATGAATCATAACTCTAGAATTCTAATTTCCTCTTTTCTGAGCAAGAAATTATCAAACAGTTTTAAATTGATTTGGAATGTCATCTTGCATGAACAACATTCATTTTTAAGATATCAACTGTAAAGCTATACTGATCTCTCTCTTATCTGCTTTTATACACTTTCTCTTGCATTCTCTCTACACATTTAAAGACATTAAATTGTACAAGTATAATACACCTTTCTAAAAAAATTATATATGACAGACTAGCTACATCAGTTACATTAAAACATGTCACAATGCTTTACACACAAAGCAATTACCTCTCTATTTGCAACATTAGCAAAAAAATCCACTTCAGTAGGAAAATAACTGGAATACTGCATCTTGCAAATAAATGCCAGTTATCTAAAGTAATTTGCAGGTTTCTATGGCTCATCCTTGCACAAGAAGCTCAAACTTTCTATAAAGCAGCTTTTTTGACATAGATTATTAAGATCAGTTTTCTAGATTTGTCTCCAGTAGTCAAATAAGGTCAATGAAAACTTATTTTGAAATATCCAGAATAATAGAAAAAAATTGATTACTCTCATCATTCCTCCTTCTTTCTCTAAATCCTAATAGCTGGATTTTTGGTGCATGTTGCCTTCCAATTTTCACACATAACCTTACTTTTCAGCTTTTACCACGTAGTTCACTTCAAAAGTAATGCCTCCTGCAATTTCTATTGAAATAAACAACAGATACAAAGAACACAGTAACACTATTTGATAGAGAAAATTCTCTGCTACAGCATGCTATTTTCAGCATGTTCACCATCATTAATTCTGCATTTTTGCCAGCAATGAACAAGAGCTGCATGCTGCATTCATAACAATCTGTACCAGTGGAGGTGACCCATTGCTGCTGTCGCTGCTGCTGAAATTCACCACCCACTGCCTCGTTGTGCTCCATAAACATTCAGCAAGCTTTGAATGTCAATGGGTGCCATCTTTTCTGCATGGAGAAATTCAGTTTCCTCTCTTTGCTGCATCTGCACTTCCATGTCAGACACCATTTTGTCAGTCTGCCCCTCTGCTGCCATCTCTCACACGGCAACAAAATGGAATGGAATATTGGTGGAAGGTTCATCCTCTACAGCCATACCACCAACATCCACCTCTAACAGTGTGGGAAAAGATAATAAAATAGGAGGCATTACTTTCAGAGCAGACCTTGTGCAAGTTTTGTGGCTTTATTTTCATACAGATAATCAACTAGATAGTGGTACCAAATTGTAATAATGTCAGTTTATATATTTTTCAGTCTTTTGTCTTCTTGCAAAGAGCTCTAGTTACTTCTTTCATAAGGAATTACAGATGTTCCATGCGATAACAAAAGGCATAAAAAAGGAAACATTCTCTGTCAGAAATTTAAACCTCAAGTTTTAAGGCATGCTGTCCCACAGAAGAGCCAGCACAGCATGCACATGGCTTTTGGTAATATTTTTGCTATAATTACAGAAGTACCTATTTTATTTCTAACACAGTAAACTTGAAGCACTTTTAGGACAATTAGGACACTAGCATTCCACACAGCAGCAACTTTTCAAGTTGTAAAAATGTACTTCTGCATATTAGAAGAAAATTTGGGTTTGGACATTCAGTTGAAAAGCAGGCGCTTATTTAACAAATTTCTATGCTTCAACATTTTGGACAAAGACTGTATTTATAGCACAGCTCAGAAACAAATTCAATGCAAGCAGGTAGCATAACTGCTGCCAAAAACACTGAGCAAAATGAACATGAAGCTTTTTAAGGCTGCATCTTAAACAGCTTTTTTTTTTTTTTTTTTTTTTTTTTAAATTGATTCCAAATTGAAAAGTAAAGCTCAAGTAAACCCATTTCCTTTTAATTATTTTGCTTTCCCTAGGAACAAGAGAGACAAAATACTGTGGATATTTTGAAGTCCTTTATAGAACAGCTATAGCCAAACTTTGAGAATTCATCTGAACCTTATAACATATGATGTTAACATTTTTCTGGAGTCCTAATTTCAGGAAAGAATTACCTATTAATAACTTCCTGGTCTGTTCTGACATCTATAGGCTAAAAAATAATATTTTACGTCAATATTTTAATATTAGTATCAATTAACCAAATTAATCTTTGTCTCTGTTTTCAATAAACAGGGCAAGTTTTGTGTTTTCCTCAAGATTGCTTACAATTCAATGTAAATTTTAAGCTTCTTGTAATTCATCAACTAATTCTCTCCTGGTTACACATTCCAAGTAATTAAAGTTCAGTAATAACTTATTCTTTCTGCTCCAGCACCTGCATTTCATTTGTTTATTTTCCCAGAGTCATAAATCTGAAGGACTGTCAAAGTGCCATAATATTAGCGCAATAATCAAAGTTAATTAGTCCCTCTTAATAAACAACAACAAAGCCATTACAAAGATGCATTGAAGGTCTTCCAGCTACCCAGTTTACAGATGAGATTATTTTCTGAACAATTAGAATTTGAAAACTGTTAGTAAATAAGTGTAGTGTTTCTGAAGTCATTTGAAATTCAGTGATCTTCATTCAATTACAAATTCATTAACTTCTGGTGAAGCAATACAAGCTCTAAAACTAGTACTCCTAAATTCTCACAGCCTTCAAAATGCTGAAGATAAGCTTAGAATTAAGGGAGCAATGTGGTATTTTATGGTATTATACACTAAAATAAAAGAGTGCTGAGTATCTATTATCCTAAATTAAAAAAGAAAAAAATCATAGAATGGCTTGGGTTGGAAGGAATCCCAGAGATCATCTAGTTCCAATCCCATGCCACAGGCAGGTTTGCCAACCACTACAATAGATGAGGCTGCCCAGGGCTGAACACCTCCAAGGATCGGCCAGCAGAATATCTCCCAGTGCAAAGAAACAGGCAAAACTTGAAGCCTTACGCCCTACGCTCACCCATAAAGGAATTCTCTTAGGATTTCACATCTTTGAAGCAAACAAAAAGATAGCCTTAATGTGAAGGAAAAGATTGTTTTGCTTCTCAATTCTTTACTGTACATCGTTAATATCTTCTGAGCAAGAGAAAAATATCTAAAGCCAAAGATTTTGTTTCTTGAAGAAAATTGTGGTTACAAAAGTTAGCAGCATTATAAGCATTACTTGTTTAGAAAGTAAGTGCAAAACAAACAATGCTTGCTAATAAATATCTGTAGACTAACTATGTGTAAATATTAATAATACTGATGTTCCTCCATATCCTCTGGGAGCAGCCAAAATATTTTCAGAGATTGAGAAACAGAGCTAGAACATTTATCACTGTAATTCTAGCAGGACAGAAATGAAATTCCAAGAACTTGACCCTACAGTTTATTACTTAGAGCATACAGAACTGTGTCAACAGATTAACTCCTGAAGACAGCAATCAAAGCAAGCTTGGACAAAACTAGCCTTACTAGCAAGTAAATGTTTGTATAAGGAATAAATTAAGAACACTGGACACATTAAAATAAGGGCCTTAGGAGATCTCCCAAAAAATGGGAGAGGAGAGCTAAAAGGAGGAGAGAAACAAGGGAATAGAAGGCACTAAGGGGATTGTATTTGTGTAACAAAATGGAAGAAAAATAAATGAAAGAGGGAAGAGATGTGAAGGAATTGAGACAAACTACCTGCAGCAGTGGTGTTCTGCCTGATGGACAGGGAAAGGAAAAAAAACCCTTTGTTTTTTGAGAAGTATAAGAATGATTCCATGTAATCTCCTATAGTACAAAAACTACAGGCAAACAAATGGCTGTCTGATACCTCCGTGAGTACATTCTCCTTCAGCTTGTTACAGACTTTGGTTCTGGAATTACCCTGTCCTTTGAACTATGCAGTGCGCCTCAGTGGTTCTTTCAAACTTACAAAGCTTTTGTATATTCTTATATAACAATATGTCAAGCCTTACAATCCAGCACAATCATATGAAATGAAAAATCACCACCACTGAAGCAGAAGTGACCAAATAGTATATTACAAAGCAAGACAAATGCCCTTTTCCTTAGATTCTTCCATGGCAACGTAAGTACCTATTTAACTGCTTGTGCATCAAAAAAGAATCCATATACTGACAAACACAGTTTAATGTTGGACATTATAAGCATTCACTTACCCATTCCTCAAGAATGTGTTGTACAGCATCGTTGCCTCTTGACATATTTCTGCAGGCCAGGATAACGTAAGCCCCATGCAGCGCAAGAGACTTCGCCGTTTCAAAACCTACAATAAAACATTTTCCCAGTCAGAAACATATCTCAGTAACAAAAGAGAGCTATATTATTAGAAGAACAGGTGAGGCACATACTGAAGTACTCTAACACTACCTGCTGTCTGACTACAAACTTGCTGGTCACCTGGACCCAGCTGCTCCGAGTACAGAGAGAGAAGTACAGATCACTTTAAGCAGGACTACAATTGCATACGTTTTGCTCAATAGGCTTGGGAACTTCAAAACACAGATTCCAATTTCTCTTTCTACCTTCATCAGTTAACAAAGTAGAACTCTACTTAATTCCTTACTTGCTTGACTGGGAGGGATAAGCAGGAATAAGCCTGAATAGTAACACTACAAACCTGTTATGTCTGGTAAGAGCACAATGAAAGTGAAAGAGTACTGTAAGACCAAGTTCCAGGTGCTACAGATGCATTTAGCCTTTGGCTCATCAGTTTGAGAGCCACCTGTGGCAGCAGTGATCACCCAGAGGGACCAACAGTAAAAATCACATGGAGGTAATTGCTCCTTTTTCACAGCATACCCAACCTGTCAGACACTTCTGCCAAAAAGTGCAGATAAGAGAAATACCAAAGTGTCAAACCACTCCTGGGAAAGAGTTGCCCAGTTCACTCTTAGAAAATAAGGTTCTACCAAGATAGATTATAATCTACTACAGCATTTTATTATATAAGCAGTTTAAAACCTTTGCTAAGATTTTGTTCAAATGATCTGGGTACAGTAACCTCATTTTTTCACCACTTAATGCCTAACAACTTCTCACAACTGTCTCATGAATAACCAACTACGCACTTTCGATACACTGGGTACAAGATCGTAGACTAAGTGGTTCACTGGATTAACCTGATGACACAATGAAAAACTAAGCCATGAAAAAAAAAAAAATCCTTCTTTTGGGTAAACCAGTGGACATGACAGTCTGCAAGCACATTCTTTCCAAATCTGAAACAAGAGGAAAGATAATTCACATTTTACTGCAGTGCAGCATTAATGAATATCCCTTTTTTTAACTTTCACACACACAGGAAAAATATACAGTGAATTTCTAAGCCTCTTTATAAACTTGTTGGCAATACTATTAATCAGTTCTTCCCTGTTCTCAATCTGGGAACTTAATTTCTCCTTTCCAAAAAGGCACTTCAGATTAATTTCCATTTGTTAATTTGGAACTGTCTTGAATTTAATGAGATCAATTCAAACTATGGAATTATCCACCAAGAGCTGCAGCTATCCACTTTTGCATCATATGCAAACTATGCAAGTGAGCGCTGTTTTGCTGCCCAATTCATTAATGAAAAGCTGCCTAGAAGCCAGTCCAAGATAAACTTTATTTAATTAGAAAGATCTGTGACAATTTACAACAGGAGACTGATGAGTTCTTGGGAGCACAGAAAGCTTATAAAACACAGAGACTTGAGCCAGAAACTAGGTTTCTATTGGGGTGATCATGTTTGTGATCTATTCAATAGTACCACTGGGTGCCCATTTCCATGGAAAACTCTAACAATGGAACTCTTTGAAAGAAGCATAACATAACTTAATAAGTTCAAATTAGACAAGCTTAAACTAGAAAACGAAGAATCAAATTGAAATGCCCAGCAATTTAAGCATGTGAATAAGTCAAGGAGAAGAGGTATTTGTTTTAGCTTTATAATACTTAAAGCATGTTCATGTTTTCATTTTAAAATTTGTTTACCAAAAAAACCTATTAAGATAGGCTATCTCACTTTCAAAACACCCTGGAGCAACAAAACTCAGAGCATAAGATGTAACTTCCATTATAGAAACAAGAGACACCAAGACAAATTTAGACCATTTTCTGCAATTACATACTTATGGTATTTAAGTCCAAGTAATTTTCTTCCATCTCTTTTAAAGCCATTCATTGTACCAAGCAGCTTTAATTACCTGGGTAATTCACTGCATGCACATGAATTCAGCTACAGCATGTGCAAAGATTTCCTCTGTTCCTAATTCTACTTTAAGCGTATTTAATTAGAATTTTTCATATAACTGAAGTAAGACACATTGTACCACAGCACTATTAGCTAACTGTATGCTTCCTGTTTTGCACAAAAGAAAACAATGCATTCTTCACATCCTACCATATTACTAAAACTAGAGAAATGCCTGGAATATTTACTGTACTGTTATACAAAGACAGCCAGTTTAATTTGCTGGGTATGATGATGTTTAGCTAACCACACCCCGTGTCACACTTTGCACAAAATAATAAATTCCATGTCATTCTCATTTACGGTTAATAACTTGATTATAAATTAAACTGAAAATGACTGAAATTGAACTAATTACAAACTCCAAAGTCAGTTAATAATACCACTTTGATTTTTCTTGCAAAGCCAGTGACTAAAACCCTCCCTCTAGTACTTACTCCTCTTGGCTCCACCAGAGGATTGTTCTTCACCCACAGGCAGACGCATTCTGAATCTTTCCACGAAATTAAGTGCTTAAAAACCCTCTGGTTAAATTTTTAACCAGCAGTCCCTCCTTCCATTCAAAATTCAGCCACAGGTCAAGTGGTGATGGATCCATCACCACAACATTTGTTATGTTCATATTATAAATTACTAACTCATTCATACACAAACTGTATTTAGAACAGTTAGATTTGTGCAAAGAGAGAAAAATAAATCCAGGTATCCCAAACCACGCAATTACTCCAATTCAGTGACCAAATTATTAGCTTTGTTTGGGATTGCATATAACCATTATGACTTGGTCTTTCTTTCTCCTAGTTTGTGTGAAGCACAATCTTTCCAGACTGTCTACGGCATGAAAACTATCAAGAATAAGAGGCAACATGATGACTGCATCATAGAATTCACTAGGGATTAAGTTAGAACTACCTATTGAATTGCTCAGCTCTCTCAAGAGGGCAGCATTTTTAGATATGTCCTTAAAATAGATCTAAATAGTCTGAAAGCTCCTAATAAGCAGTGAAATTAATTAGCTTCACACTTTATCAAGTAACTAGGCAGGAGCTTAGAAAACTGCAATTTCAAACTAAAATTCCTGAAGTAAGATTTAGGAAGTATCTTGGTTTTCAAGCCCTTCTTATAGCTTTAGCTGTTTGTTTCTCCTGCAGAATTTAACCCTTCTTTCCTCCTTCAGTGTCACATGCATAACAGAAAGGGAGAGAAGCTTCTAAAATAGTGGAAAAGTTATCAACAGACTCATGCTGTTAAATCAAGTTCGCCAACACTATTTGTGCTTCAGCAAAATGGAGCAGTGTTTTCAACACACAGAAAACCATTTTAAAACCTAAGCCTCATACAGGGACTGAGTATTTTAAGCACAAAACCATTCAAGTTCTAGGAAGAGAAACCTTACTTGTCTGCAAGAAAATACATTAATCAAAATACACGTTCAATGTGGTTTCATACAACAAAGTTAAATCACAAATATAAACCAAACATTCAAGAAGAGTCATAGCAGGATAAATAAAAAGAGAAATTTACATAATTATGTTAAGGAAGTGCATTGTTGATGGAATAAAACAACCTCAATTCCACCCATAAGAGTAACTCACAGAGTTCAAAAGAATCCAAACACTTCTTAAAATAATTTCACTTGCAAAGTTAAAAACTTGAATATCCTCTCGTAGAGAACATACTCCATCATCACCCATTGCATATTATTTGTGAGTTTGTTATTTCAGGGGTTGTTGTTGCTGGGCTGGATTTTGGTTCTTAGTGTTTTTGTTTGTTTATTTAAAAGCATGTAAAACCTCATTAAAAACACAGCACATAAGAATCCACATGAACATTAAGGATTGCCGGTTACAAAAAACAAGGCAAATGCTTCCCCAAATGTGACAGGAGAACAATATATATGCTGGAAAACAACCACATTATATTTAAATTTTAAATACAATATATTGTTCAGCAAACATTTTCTAAAACTAAGATAAATTTCAAGCGATTACTCTGGAAATTTTGAGAGGTATGAGCTTTCTGAGGTCACTACTCCTGTTCCTTAACGAGTTCTAATTTGACACTCTGAAATGACAACCCTGTTTCAGAGCTACATTAAGTAAATACTACAGCACAGCTTTTCACATCAGCAGAGAACATTAAAGACTGATAGTAGAATTAATAAGAGCTACCTGAACAGTAAGTGTATGGGACTTCCTCCAGGCATTTAAAACCTTTCAGCCCTTTATTTACATCAAAGACTCCAGAACTGGCATCGGATTTCATTTTTCATAGTCCATGATTTTTCAACACCATACTCTCACTTTGTCTATCCACAATTGACTTCTGTCAGTGAATTTGGGGACAAATTTTCAGCTAATGGTCTCAATTAACGAGCAGTATGCATTGTTCAATTAATGCCAACTCAACATAAGCCAAATGAGTGTATGGGTCTGTCACACAGTACAACCTCCTCTATAAAACAAAGAAAATAATTCATTGACTGGAAAAGTGATCTGATGATTTATTAATTAAGGGGCACTACAGAACCCACTTACCATTAGCTTGTAGAGGACTTTGTAAAGAATTTGCAGCAGGCATTTAAATGTTTGGAAGTAGCTTTTTTAGCTTTTTTTTGTTTTGTTTTGTTTTTATTCTAAACATAGATAGGAAATTTTGAATACACAAAAAGAAATTCAGAAACATTTCAGACAGCAAGACTTTCAGCTTCTCTGCCTTCTCTGAAACACTCCACAAAACACTGGATCTGTCACTTACAGCACACATGAACAGCAGAGTTGACATCTTTCTTTCCAAAAGCTCAGTCCTCTTATTTAAAAGCCTACAGGGTTTGTTTGCCTTTAGCTTCTTAAAAATGATTTCTTCCCTTCTCGCCATTGAAAGAAGAGTTCTGGAGGCCCTGAGGTTCCTCCCATGTGCTGCATTAACAATTTCAAGCTGTCACAACTCCAGCCTTCCTTGAGCCCTATGTCACAGGCCGTCTGAATGTAAACCACAAGGAATTCCAGAAGAAAGCCTTCTTACCTTCCACT